CCTAAATACGTCGAAGCATTATAACAGAATACTTGAACTCAAACTAAGGCTTTTAGAAGAAGCGGGCGAAAAGCATTTTGGAGTGCCCCATGTAACGCCAGGAACCCAAGAAAATCTAGGAACTCACGGAACCCGAGGAACTCTTGAAGGTGTGGCGTCACTCGCTCTGAGGGAAAGCTCGATAGTATACAATGAGTATATCTGCCATTGTGGATGCCACGAAACATAGAGAGGCCCACACCCTCAAAGAGAAAAATGTGCGTGTTTGTGTTTCGTGGAACTAGCAATGATAGATATGCTCTATGTATTGTTTCGAGCTCCGCTCAAGAGAGACCCCCACACCCTCAAGAGCCCCTTGGATTCCGCGAGTTACTTGGGTTCCATGCGTTCCTTGGGATCTGTGAGCTCCTTAGTTCTTACAATTGCTTGCGTTTTCGGTAGTTACGTTCGAGAATTGCCTTTTTGATTGATCTTTGAGTTTCGAAATCCTCACGAGTTCAGAATTCACGGAGTCCAGACACGTCTCCTGTTTTGTTCGCAGATGAATTCTTTTCTTACCTTACAGCAACTATGAAATGATGTTTACTCCACCTGACGATTATACTTCTATTCTGTCGGTTGAAACAACCAAAACCATGTGTCTATATTCATATCTTTCATGGTAATAAGCAAAAGAGAGATAAAGTCGAAGTTACACTGGTGCAGGGTGTGGGTGAAGAAAATATGACACCCACACCCGAAGCACTTTCTCGTTGATCGGTAAAGTAAATGATGAACACAAGTAAATTTCGCTTATTTTGTTTTTTCTAACTTCTGTTTCATATTCTTTTTTCAATTACTACTCTACTTCGGAACAAACTAAAAAATTCACGTGTAGTTCATGTATTTGAAGACGATTTCCACTAGATCATCTTGTTTTTACTAATGTTTTCCTGACAAATAATAACGACAACTCAAGAACCCTTAAATTTCTAATTTCCAATTTTTAAATAATATTAATCAAGAAGTCTCCTAAGAGCGACGGTAAGAGTGTAAGAAGCACGTCACGACATGGTCAATTCTTACGGGTTTGGTGTGTTAGTCAGAATAGACCGTTACTCGTTTTCTGTAACAGACGTATAATTCGAAGACTTGAGCGTCAATTAAATTTGGCATTAGCAATCTGCATTTTCAGAGTTCGACAACTCTAAAATAAGCAGTATCGTCATTCAAAACGACCATCCGAGTCACGTAGAATTCAGGGGTCTGGGTGTGCCTAGGTGTGAGTGTGGGTATGGATGAGGGTGTGGGTGTGCGTGGGAGTGCGGTGTGATGGCGGGTGTGGGTGGGTGTCTGATATGAGCGTGGACGTCGCTTACGCGAATATTAATAACTGCATGCACTTTCACACCCACATCTACATCCGTTATGTCTAACTTCACTTTCGAGTTAAAAACCATCTTACAAAAATATAAAAAGTCATCCATAGTGCACATAAACAGTACTTTTCACTCAATCTAATACAAAATTTTTATCCTATATAACTTGAGAAAAAAAAATTTAAGAAATGTAAATAATATATAGTTTTGTAAAGCGTGAAAAACTACATCGATCTATGTTATTAATTTTGACATTGAGATTAAATAGAAAAAAGTTATAGACATTACAGCTATCGGCCGAAACACTGAATACCTACGAAAGCCTTGTAGACCCCTGAAGATAAAATGATGTTGGAAAAATTTGTTTATGTTCAATAAAAAGTAAAATTAAATACACAGAGAGGTATAGAGTTTCAAACTCTATCTTTCTATCATATTGAAAATGAAAACTGAGAGACGGAAAATTTGCGATAAAATCTCGCGGTATCATTTTCTAATGTTTAAAACCTTGAAATGTATTCGATGAGACGATCTGTATTTGCATGCTTCAATTATCGACAGAGAAAGTTTTTCTTAATTAGTTCAAACATTACCAACATCATGTTTTAGATGTCCAATATTTATTATCGAAGCAATAACAGGATTTGTACAACATGAATAATGATTTCACTTATGCGAAAAAACACATATTCACATGTATAAAACACCTATACTCATTACCTTCTAAGGTTTTACTTACATCCATAATCGTAGAATGATGTAATTCTTTTTGTCTCATGAATTTTTCGTGCTTCAAGACTTTTCACTCTGCTCCAATTCAATCAACTTTGAAGGAGCCAGTTACGAGTTGTAAATGGAATACCTTTTTATGGTCTCTTCGAAAACTCTGGTGGCTTGTTCTCAAAATCATGTCATTTTACACGTAGCCAACATTTTATTTATTGTATATTGATATAGACTTGATTTTAGTTAATAATAGAGTATTTTCATAGTTCAATAAGTGTGTAATACAAATATGACTGTAAATTTATTCTTATGTGGAAAATTCCCAAATCATCTGTTATGAAAGTTATAAACTTAACATACAATTTCTAATTACAAGCTACTTAGATTATCATATAGATACCAATGTTCCATATTAACTTTTCAGTACAATAATCGTATTCAATCCAGTTTCGACTTTTCTCTATTGTTAACATAAATATGTCAGATGATGATTATTCTACAACTTGCAAGTATCTGAAACATTACAGAAACATGGTATGCATCGAACAAAAAATTTTCATTTCTACCAACTTTGTTTAGTAGTACACTTAGTGATCCTAGTTTTGACACTTTATCCTATAAATAAAGTCACTGTATTGCGCTCGACCTGTGAATGATGAAGGATTGTTAATCGAACGAACTTACGGAATAAAGATACAGGACAGAAAAGTAATATCTCTGAACGCACTTTCGAGGAGAAAGATCTCACTTTTGCTGATGTAACCAAATAGTATTGAGGGAAAATGATTACAAAAGTATTAAAAAGTTTAGATACTGGTAAGGTTTCCGTGTAATATTAGCTATTAATGTGAAGTATCTTTATCGGATGAGTCGGTCCTTTAATAGTAAACTCCTTTCCATTAGAAAAAGAAATCAATATAGAACTTCGATTGACGATGGATGAATGGTAAAAAAATGAATTCTGCGAATAACTTAGCTTCTTTTAGAGAGTTAACAGTCAGGTTTCCTAGTACTGGGATAATATGGAATCGTTCGATTTCTAGAAAGTTTATGATCAGAATGTTTATTTATTGCTTTCGATTTCAACTGACAATCCATTCACATGGTTTCTGAGAAAGAATAGAGTTGATAGCATCAAATTTAACTGGCATTGACAATTTCTATGAATTATTATCATTCAGCTTTTGTCTTTTTGGAGATGGATATGGATGTTTTATCTATCCAGATCCACATTCTCTAAAAATATACTTTTTATGACTTCAATAAATCAGGTAGAATTTCTCAATAAAACATCTGATAAAGATGCTTGTTTGATCATATCGTGTGATATGATTAAACATTATATTTCATCTTCTTACGCGCATAAAAACTAAATGTATAGTTTTTCAAAAATCTACGGTAACTGCACTATACTTTAATGTTTTTATCACTGTAGAATACGTATCGTATGAATATATTTGTCCGTTGATCATGAAGCAAAAAAACAGCGCATATATCAGAATATCACATAATATCAGCCATGCTACAACGAAAATAATATCCAATCGGAATGTTGTAACCCGCATCAGTGTCAATAAAGTTGTAAAAGAAAAACCAGGACACATGGACATACTCGTAGTAATGTAAAATGACACAGAGAAATTTTCATTAATAAGTTTTCTTTTCCTTTGTGTATTTAAATATGTGTTAAATTGTATTAAATAGAACCGCAAGCATGATATGCATACTTAGTGAATGCATGTACATTTTGCCTCTACATTAGAATTTTCATTTCATTACCAGAAATTAAGTTGTTGATATCTAGATAAATATGGTTACCTCAAGAGTCTTAAAGTTGATTTTTTCCTTTTATATCGAAGACTATGAAAAGACAATGTCAGCCACGTGCTATAGGTATGTTTTTTTTTTCTAATGTTTATATAATAATAAATATTTTCGACAAACATAAGACCTTGACTATGCACTTTTCTTTCTCGTTATCGACTCAATATGACAGGTTTCTTTTTTTCTTTCGGTAGCTGTTGCTTGGATGAACACACTTAGCCTATTATCTCTTACGATATTATTCGATTAGTTAAAAGCGAGAAAGGTATAACTGCATCAGTTTTCGTCTTTCTACTCTTTTCTCATTTGTTTGTTCGCTGCATACGATTAGATCAAAGCTGCTAATATTTAGTGTGCTATTCGTAAAGAAAAAGAAACAATAATACATGGCACGTCGTCACAAATTGCTTAATGTGAAAATTCTGGCTGATCATACAAGTGGTCTGGTTGAAGTAGCCTTTCATACTACTCGTTTGAATCGAGCAAATATGGAACAGCTACCTTTTCCTGATGAAAATTTTCATGAAGATATCGAAGAACAATTTCAAAGAAGTTTGTATAATTAAGCATTTTTTTCTGCTAATTTCATTTCATTATCTTTTTTATTTAGATAATAAATTTACTCTTGAACATATCCATCATCATAATGGACGAGCATTTGTTCCTAAAGTTCCTGTTCATATTATATCTATTACGGTTGAAAATTATCATGGAAATTTTCGACAATTACTTGATCCATATTTGTAAGTTTAGCTGGAAAACATTTATTTTCTCCAACATATGGGATTCATTCTTTGCAGATACTGTGTAACAATCGAGCATGGTTCTGTTCAATGGTCGATTTATAAAAGTGATGAAAATTTTCACGATTTGCATAATGAATTAATGCAGTTCGCTAATACAGAACGAGAAAAATCTATAAATGCTTTACAACCGTACGTATGATATACTCTATTCAATAAAAAGAAAAAACTATATGTTGTTTCTCTGTCATAGAAAAAAATAATAAACATATTGTAAACTACGTAGTGACCTATAAACAGGTCGGATGCATATACTGATCATATAGTTTAATGAATAGTCATATTAGGTGATCATTCGAGACTTGAGCAGCGATATGATCAGTAATCTCTTGTTTAGAGATGTATCTCTCTATAAACAGAGTTTGTTGCACACAATACAGCGAACCAATCACCGTATATTTTTTTTCTGCATTCACTCACTGCACGGTTAGCATCAATATTCATTGCATCAAGAGTTTTATGCAAGTACATTCAGCAACATGGAAACGTTTATTTTTTTAAATTCTTGATTATCTCTTATTAGTCTTATTTTTCGAAGAAAATAAACCTTTTCTCAAGAAGACCCAGCATTTTTCTACATTTATTTTTGTTCAGTTTATGTGAAGGAAACGCATTTTTAAGAATATTTCTCGTCTATAATGAATTTCAGCTTTTTTTTCGTTAAAACAACGTCAATCCTATGCAATTTTTCTTAGACTAGGATTTATGCGATAAGTAAAATAGATGAGATAATCAGTACATCAGAATATTAGAAATCAGTGGTGGTAAGACCTGTGAGGAACTAAGGAGTTCAGCTTCTTTCTTCCCCTCTACAATCTTAATTTCACCACTACTGTTCTTCATCGATTGAATAAATACATATGAAAACGAAATACGTTGAAATAAATATTTCATAGTGTGAATTGCGCGGGTTGAAATTTTCAGCAATTTATTGTTTTGATTGATTCTATTCCACTACTGCAGACTTTTACTGGCAGTGAAAATAGTTTAGATTGTTCAGGGAAGACAAGTGTGATAGCATAGTCCTTTTGAGAATATTTTTAAATATCTGACCCTTTTTTAACATTCTATTGCCAGAATTTCTAATGGGAAAAGAAAGGTCATTCATTTCTGTGGCATGCAATAAAAGAGAGAGAGAGAAGAATCACCAAACTCTAAGTTAAAAGTTATTGTTTTCCTCGAAAATGTACGGAAGATTCACAAAAAAAGTAAAAGAAATAAGACCAAATTCACTTGAATAGTCCTATAACTTACCTATTTTTTTCACTAATTCTTTGGATTTCTATTCAATATTCTTTCGGAACCTTTCTTATTTATCAATTTTCTTTCTCTTATACTAGTGCACTTAATATTGCTAAAACCTATTCTTCTACAAAGAAAAATTCTATAATTTGATGATCAAGATAATGTTTTCCAGTAAAATAAATTCTATTTATATCTAATAAACCGATCGTTCTATTATTATTTACTGATAATTTTAGTTTTGATCATTTATACATCTTTACTGATCAGAAATTTTGCCTCCTTTTCTTATAGAAATCTAGATGCAGATGATAGATACCCATGGTTTCCAGGAAAAAATGGTCGAAACACATTGGTTACTCATAAGACGCCTGATGAACATTGTGTAAATTATAAAATCACTTTTTTCTACTATTCTGATTTCATTTTCTGCTTTATAGAATAATCTTGCTGCTTATCTCAATAAGGTTATTACACATCCCAAATTTCGCACACATCCAGCAACGGTATGAATTCATAATTTTACTAGCAGTTTCAACATACGTATATCAATATTTTGTTATTATGAGAAACTTCTATCTCATAGAATCATGTTGCCTTGATGTTTCTTTCACTTTTTAGTGTACATTTTTCAATGTAAGTTGTTTATCATTCGTCGATGGTCTATCAATAAGTCGAAAAGAAGGTTCTCTGTTAAGACAGTCTAATTATTACAACCGGAATCATCGTACTCCCCTTGGTCAACCATTAGTCACGAAATTGGGTAAACATCGTTACGAAGAAAGGTGCGTATACAGTCTCTCATCAAATACAACTTTGCAATAAGAATTTCTCTTGTTGATATGCAGATGGCTTGCTATAAAGGATACATATGTAGTTTATATGCAACCTGATACATATGAAATACGTTTTCCAATATTACTTGATTGTAAATTTGAAGTGGCACACAGTCGTCATCATATTGATAATTATTATAGAATTAAGATAAAAAATTTACAATGTAAAATAGTTGTTAAATGTCGAACATCACATGAATGTGAAGAATGGATGCAAAATTTCAAAATGCTTATTGAACAAGCATATGGTTTTATTGACCGACATGCAAATCGTTTTAATTCCTATGCGCCTATTCGAGAAAATCAACGGGCTCATTGGTAAATTAATAAGATGATTTTATATGAATATCGAATATTTAATATAGGTTTATCAATGGTAAATCATATATGAAAGCTGTCGCTAGAGCACTTCTAACTGCAAAAGAAGAAGTTTTCATAACCGATTGGTGGTTGTCACCTGAAATTATGATGATACGGCCAACAGAAGACGAAACATATCGTCTGGATAATTTATTAGCAACAGTGGCTGTAAGAAATTCATTTGTTCTATGACTGATATCAATTGAATCTTTCGCTTTTGGGAAATTTTAGGCAAAAGGAGTTCGTGTTTATGTAATGGTTTTTAAAGAGCTCAAACGAGTTTTACCTTTAAGTAGTCTATATACCAAGAAGAAACTACTGTCTAAAAATAAAAATGGATTTATTAAAGTAAGTTTCAAATCTTTATAAAGAATGATATACATACTCAATTTTTATAAGATTCTTCGACATCCTGATCATCATAATAAAAACAGAGTAATCATGTGGTCTCACCATGAAAAAATGGTTGTTATCGATCAAAGAATTGCATTTGTTGGTGGAATAGATTTATGTTATGGTCGGTGGGATGATGAGTATATGCGGTTCGTAATTATCTTACTTTATATTTTACACCCTATTGTTTGATAGGAAGAAAAGGAAACTTTGTATTTAGTGACGAAGTCAGATCTTTGGGCTGAAGTGAGAGACCCACGCCCCTCTTGGTTCCACCGCTACTTAGTTATAATGCATAAAACTTCTGTTCAAGAATGTATGTTCAGTAGAGAATTAAATATATGTACATTCTTGTGGAACGCTGTATACCAATATTCGAATAATACTGATTTCGACGAGTATTATTACACGTTGTTAGATGTATTATTGAGAATTATTTCATCATAAATTAAAGAAAATTCTTGCTTTTACCTAATGAGTTTTATACTTCCATAGTAGGTAATTATGAAATTCTATGAAATATTTTCAGTCTTGTCGATTTGGGCACTGAAAATATCAGTAGATTGTATTTACCATCTGAATTGAATCCAGCACAACAAATTACAAGACAAATGGCTGACAGACTTCATACATTGGTTGTGACGGTAAGAAAATCTGTAAAAAAAGAATTGTATTTAAATCTAGATATAACATGAAAAGATTTTTGGATTTGGATGTGTTTAATATAATGAAGAACATTTGTGTTTTAATTTTGGCTCTACCAGAAAACTCATATATGAAGTCGTGTATCGCATGACATTATGTTCTGTTTATGATGCTTATCAAGTTATAGATTAGAAAATAACGAAAAAAGAACAGAAAATATTCTATCGCATAATCGTTTTTGCCTAACAGTGAAATAGATATCTGATGAAAAAAAATCAATTAGTGCATCGTGCATATGAACTCACTATTGAATTGCATGTATTTGATTCATGTCAGTTTAGATATTGTGAAAGAGAAGAACTATTTTTAATTTTTGTATTACTAGTATATTTTGAATCTATTGTAGCGTAGTGATCGTATGAAAACAGCATTAAATGCTCTTAGTCAAATCGATGAAGATACTGCGTCTCTTGACTCATCTTCTACCAATGAAACACAAACTTACAGGAAATCACGAACACCTAAATGTAAATAATTTCATGCATCTATTTTCTTTCGAATAAGTACGTAATATTCATTTTTGTTTCTTTATATCAAGTGAAACAATTAATGTCAGCAGGTAAGACTAAATCTGATATTGTATTTATAGTAAATTGAACGATACACTACAACTTTCAAAATGATATCGCTTATCTATTATGATTTATAACCTAATCGTATTTCTAATTTATAAAAGAAAATAAATGAGTGGTTGGTTTTATGAACTTTTAATTTAATATGAAGCCATCTTTTTTTTGATATATTTTATTACAATCCTATAGTTTATTATCACTGATATAGGAACCGAGGACGATGAATCAGAGTGTAAATCAGATAGTGGTAAGAATACATATTCTACATTTTTAATATATACAACACTAATGAATAATAAGAAGAAGAATCAAGCACGATCTCTTATTGACATAATTATAAAACTAATCTTTCAAACATTTTTTGACGATGATTATGCTGTCGCTCTTCTTATTACCATATTGCATGACGCTATATGAGATCATTGATAGTGCTCGTTTAATATCTCTAATGATGATCAAATTACGGTTTTTTCTATTATTAATCGAAAAGAAAAACAGTTCACAGACACATAATCTGTATTGCTTTGATCGGTTCACAACTTGCCTAATACGTCTACCATGGTTCAAATTCATACAGAAGATAACACTTTTTTTTTCGAATATTGAAGATGAATCGACAACGTCTGATGGAATTATATTTGCACTTCGGAAAGATAATTTACAAGGAGAAGATAGCCATGCTACTGGATGGCGGCAGTTCTTACAAGTAAATAATAAAATAAATAATCGAAGTGTAAAAGTCACTAACTACTGTGCTCTTAGCTGGTCATCTTATTTCAGCATATAGAAGAACCGTGTCAAATATGCGAAACTTGTGAGATGCAACATGTCTAACGGAAGCAGTAGTCATGTATTACTGGATAAGCACCATCGTAATTAGAGATGCCTATTCTCCGTGACTACAACCAGATCTCTTACAGCATATGGAGATTCCTTCGGAGGGGAAGCAATGACATCTCGCTAAAATTTCATCATACATTAAATGCAGATAATTAATTGAGATGGAAAAGCGTTTATATTTGAAAACATCACAAGTAGCAAAACTCATATTCTAAAAAAGCCAGTTCTGAAATAGAGAAGCCGATGAGCATCTTCTTGCTAAATATATTTTCATACGCCTATTCTGTTTTCGAAATAAATTATGATAGAGACTTTTTAAAAGCTCGATTGTCTGTAGTTAGAATTACTCGTGATAAAGCATGAATCATCGACCCTGACTCATACATTATGAGTGTTAGTTTATCGATAAAACCAGAAAAATAAGTTAACCAGTCAGGTCGGGTTTCAACTTATAGTAAAATCCGAGGCAGTCTTTATTCAATAAATATCTAACGACTTCTGCAAATTACAGTAATATTTTAAAACTAAAAATATTCTTTCATCAAACACTTACATTTTCTACAAGTTGCAGTCAGCTTACTTAAAATAAAAATGCTTTTCTGATTTTCACTAAAGTCAGTCAATTTTTCGAATGTTAGATTTCATTTTCGAATCAAACAAAAATTTAATTTCTTTACATTTGCAACTGATTTATTTATATGGGAGGATTTTCATATAGTTTCGTCTATTTTTGTATATTTGTGATTTAACTTGTCTAATAGGAAACTTTCTTCTCAAAAACATTCGATGAGACTGTCTTCAACTATGTTTCTAGAAACAATTGAAAGAAATAATTTTTATCTCAGGTGACAGTAAAATATATGTTTTGAAAGATAATTAAGTTCGTTGATATACTCGTATCATGTCATTCAGTAGGTAGATGATTGAAACAAAATTTTAGTAGTTTTTTTTCATACTATTGAAAAATCTTCACTCTGTCAATTTTGACTTGCATTAAAAAATTTTAATTTCATTCTGTTGCCTATAAGTCGTCAAAAGTATAGTTAGCACATTGTAAGATAAAAAACTTTCTTCATGCAGAAAACAGTAAAATTTCTACGTTGATTATTTTAGAAAGAAAGCCAAGACAGCGACGACTCTGATAGTGACGAGAACCTCGATGAACAACAATCAGTAGCTAGTATTGTGATTTCTGACAATGATAGACGTCATCTATTATTCATTGGAAAAGATTATGCAAATGATTATGAAAAAGGATTTGAAAAAGCTGAAGAACCCTATGAAGGTAATTTGATTGATTTCATCTATTTTTATGTCGATCGTATTCATAGACAATATTAATCGAAGACACTTACCTCGTATGCCATGGCACGATGAAGCTCTGGTTGTATTTGGTCAAGGAGCACGTGATGTTGCAAGACATTTTATTCAACGATGGAATATTCATAAAGTTTGATGAGAAAAAAAATTCCGCTTTTCACGTCAACTTTTATTTCTTTTGAAGTGCGAAAAACATTTGAACAATGATGCATATCCATTTCTTTTACCAAAGTCATATAGTGACATCCAAGATTTAACTGTGGATAACTGGAGAGAATTTCTGGATGATGAACCATGTTGTGTTGATACTCAAGTGAGTATTTATTTGTAAGTGATATTCTTTAAGGAAATGTTCAGTTATGATTTTATTTTAAGTGTGTACGTTCTACTTCATTGTGGTCATCGGGAATAAAATCAACTGAAAAATCCATTCAAAATGCATACATACAAATGATTGGTGCTGCTAAACATTATATATACATCGAAGTAAATTAATATTTATAGAAAAAAAAATTAAACTATCATTCATTATTATTATGATTTTTTTTTATTCAAATAGAATCAATTCTTTATTACGATTGCTGGGGATAGACTGGTTAAAAATGAATTAGCTAAAGCTCTTTTTATGCGTATAAAACAAGCACATGAGTATGAATTGTTTTCTTACGTATGAAATTAAATCTTTTTTTTTTAAAACTAGATCGAAAGAAAAATTTCGTATTTATGTTGTGATACCACTTTTTCCCGGTTTTGATAGTCTCAATGCTTTACATGCTGTACTCTTTTTCATAATGCGTTCGATTACTAAAGGTGGTAATTCATTATTTTGTCGACTTGAAAAAGAAGGTAAATCAACGGTTCTTTTTTCTTGTTTTATGTAGAATATCAAGAGAGCTTTTATTGAAAATGTTTTTCTTCATGTTTGTATTCTAATTAAGGGGTGACGTATACGTATAGCGCTATGCGGTTAGTATTTTAGACTTTTGTACCCTGTTAACATTTTTGGTTCAAAGCTTTTAAATCAAACAATAGCGCTTAAAATTCTCTAGAAAACCATATATGGCAAGATTCTACAAATGGTATAGGTATATTTCAGAATTGAGGACAGAAAAAAAGCTGTAAACCAAAACATGATAGACGTAATGATCCGTCGTACTTTACATCTTACATTTTCATTATTTACTTCGTCCCATTCGAAAAACAAAATATAACAAGAAAAGAAACGATAAGAGCTGGACAATGTACATAAGAACATTTATTGCATAGCCATTCCTTTTTTATCGAAATGATCAAAACTTAGTATAATCAAATTTGAACCGTGTGACAATGCTATATTTTTTTCGTATAAGATGACTTATTTTATTCTTGTTTTCTGCTTTTATAAGTTGTTCTTTGCAAATTGTGGAACTCTTCACGCTGCATATTTGGCTATACTTTGATTTCTGTTAGGAACAAGGTCTGGAAAACATTAGATGTAAAGTGCAGTCATTCATTCTGTCCATTCTGTTACTTTTTACAACTTTTTGTCTATTCCCATCTTTCAAACGTATCTTCAATAATTTTTCGGTCTAGTCGTACATATTGTTTGATTTAAAAGATAGTAAAACCAAAGTGATAATTGAGTAGAGATTTCGAAAATACTAACTGTATAATTTTTATATGCTGTCCACTACTCATAAAAGTAAAAACTTATACGTAGAATAAAAAATACAATCTATAGCAATGTTTTCAAAAACGAAAAGTAATTCACTTCTTCTCTATGTTTTATCAAAAATTAGTTTCACAGTAAGATTCTCTGAAATATGTTTGCATGACGATAATTTCTCTACTTATTCGGTCAGAAATCTGTTCTGAAGAAATAGTTTGTCTCTCGATGAATATTAGTATCTTGAAATCAATGATAAATTTCACGGAAAAAGAATATTATGTGATTTTCTTCTACTTTTGATCTTTAGGCATTACACCAAGCGATTATATTAGTTTTTTTGGCATGCGTAATCACAATGTACTTATGGGTCGTTTAGTAAAAAAAATAATTTTAATCATCTACACAATTAAGAAAGTCTTTTTATTTGGGTATAGGTCACGGAAATAATATATGTTCATTCGAAATTAATGATTATTGATGATTCTATGGCAATATGCGGTAGTGCAAATATAAATGATCGTTCATTACTAGGTGAACGCGATAGTGAATTTTGTATTGTAATAAAGGATCGTGAAAAAGTTGATGGTCGATTCAATGGAAAACCAGTTCGTGTAGGAAAATTTTGTTCGAGTTGGCGCAAAAAGATTTTTGAGTTTGTCTATAGAAATTCACATAAGAATGATGATTATGATAGAAGATTATTTTGAATTTTAGGATGCTGTTAGGTATTCAGTTTGAAAATCCAAATAATATTGATGTAACTGATCCAGTATCCGATGAATTTTATACCTATTTTCGACAAACAGCACGAAAGAACACAGAAATTTATGAAAAAGTGTTTGGTACAATACCAACGAATCAAGTTCGAACATTTGCTCAAAGTTCAAGGTACAGTGACGCAAAATATATAAGAGATATAGATCCATTACGAGTATGTTGATAATAAACCAGGTCTGGTAAAGTGTATGAGGTAATGTTGTTTTTCTTTCTAAGGCGCAAGAAGAATTGAAAACTATCCAAGGTTTTGTTGTTGAATATCCAATTTATTTTCTTCATGATGAAAACTATTTACCTAAAAAGGGATCTCGCGAAGGTAAGCATTTATTCATCGAATAACCCTTTGTTTAAGTTTCTTTCTAAATTTAGGAATAGTTCCATTGGTAACATGGACGTAAAAAATGTCTTCTTTCAAGGGCAATTTAAGAGATTTCGAATATCAAAAACACAGAACAATCGGTCAAACAATTAACTTTTGTCAACAGACTCGTTGTGTCGCGCATTTTTCGGATACCTTCTTCATTATTTACTTATCTTTGTTCCGAAAGCTGCTTCATTTTATTTTCATTTTAATCTTCTAATACAATTCAATAAGTAGAGAAACAGTTACAAAGAAACTGATTTCATTTTGAGGTAGATGTCGATATATTATTTCTCATGAATAAGTTCTCAACAAAAATGACTATATGATCCTATATGCTAAGCATACATTCTATGATTTTATTTGAGTATGTATCAGAGGTCTCAATGGGTCGGGTCGGGCCAACAAAAACCAGCCCATGGGCTATCAACCGCGGCCCGGTCCAGCCTATGTTTTTTTCTAAAAAACTGGCCCGTCCATGGACCACTCACCTGACTGATACTTTTCAGACAGACATGTTGACTTGTCATGCTAAATGAAGTAATTAAGATGCTAAGCACTATCGTATGGCGTCACGAGTTTTCTTTCTTTAATTAATTCTAGCTAGGCGTACATATATCAAGTCGTCATTTTGTGTCAAACTCAACTCGAAAGCGGAAAATCTGAAATTTTTCATTGAAACGTTAGGTGAAAGTATCAAGCTGGTACTGATACCAGTTTTTTCCAATCTTCCGAAGAATGTTCTGCTCGCCACATATAGCGTGAAAAAACAACAAACTAAAATGAATTAGTTGTGATATAACTAAAATGAAGACAGTAACAAAAGTTAGGTGCCACTCTGTTAACTCATATGTAGGAGAGCTGTAAAAGCAGCTAATTACATATAATGAATCGCATGGATAATTAATGACGAACTTTTACATGTCTGATTTTTAGTTACGATTATGCTCTTATCCGATGATCATTCGCAAAGAAAATTTCAGTTTTACTTTGAGAAAGAAGTGTTGATAATTTTCGTTTTATTTTAATTTCAGTCCATTTCGGCCTATGGGTACCCATTGAAATTTCGGCTCATGGGTACCCATTACAATTTCGGCCCATGGGCTGGATGAGCCGGGCCGGGCCAAACCCGGCCCATTGAGACCTCTGGTGTGTATTGTTTCTGGTTATTTACTGTATCTAATTTTTAAACGATACTTTTGTAGTGATACAGTTTAGTTGAAGACGGGCTGTACGTAGAAAATATTTAGAATCCAATTTTATATCTCCTTTTGTCTTCCTCAAAAGGCTAGAGATATTTCGATTATGATTATGAATTTTTGATTACTATGATGTTTAAATCATAGAAAGAGAAGTAAATCTTTATTATTCGAATAAACAGAACTCATCGTCATGAAAAATTGACATTTACTTCAAACTTGAAGAATTTGTTTGAAAAAAATATAATATGTTTGAGATTATGCAGTTAGATACAAGTGTTAAAGATGTTCTCATTCTATCTTTATAGTTTTCCCCGCATTCATAACATTTTGGCTTGCACTATGCATGACTGATATTAGAACCTCTCCAAATCATCAGAAAAGTTTTCCAGTAGAGTAGCAATCGTAAAATTGTAACTTTTATCTTTTGCTCATACGTAAATTCGTTTAACTTGCTGACAAAAACTGGCAAGAATCTAATGATTCGCTACGTTCTACGATCGACCTATTACTACAATGGATATACATTCGTCGAAATCTCAACGTCAGTTTTTTTATTTTGTGCATCAACATCAGTTAAACCGCCGATTGCCATATCCATAGAAATAGTCGATTTAGGTCCGTGATGATTACGCCTTCCTATTTGATCATTATCATTGTTCAATAAACAATATTGACAGCACTAGGTAACGAAGAACGGTTTTGCCGGCGATGGGCGAATCAAGCCATTTTTCGAGTCGAGTCAAGTCAATTTTTTTTGCATCGTTTACTGTTCCATTTATTTCGATAAAAACTGTTCACAACCATTCTTTTAATATATTATTCAATCTTCAGCTTTTACGAAATAAAAAGAACAGTTCTACACAAGACAAAATCCCACACTGAAAACAAAACGTACCGTACGGAACCTAAAAGGGTTTCGAGGGTGTGGGGCGTGGGTGGGTGTGGGTAGGTGTGGGTATGGGCGTGGGGTATCAGTCTTCTTTTCGACTACTCTCCCACACCCACACCCACACCCATACCCATACCTACACCCTTTTGCAAGTGATAAAAGACGAAGAGGAAAAAACATTTTCATTTTGTATCTTTCCTTGAATCAAGTGAAAGAGAGGTAAGCGAGGAGTCAACTTTTATGTAACACATACAGTCAAGTGAAGTCTAAAGCAAGTTGATCATAGTGTCGAAACGCATGAATATCGATACTGCTGCCGAACAGTGCCCTGTTGCCAGCCGTCTCAGCCCGGCGGATGTCTCGTGCTATTACGAAGTGGGCTACCACTATCCGGTACGTGTGATGAGCGCTCAACAGACCGCCGCCTATATGCACAAGCTCGAGGCCCATGAAGCCGCCTATGGGCCGCTCCTCGGTAACATGCGGCACAAAGCGCATCTCTATCTCACCTGGCTCGATGAACTGGTTCGCCTGCCGACCATCCTCGACGCTGTGTGTGACATCTTGGGTCCCGATATCATGGTTTACAGTTCAAGCTTCTTTATCAAAGAGCCGCACGATCCTACCTACGTCTCGTGGCACCAGGATGCCCAGTATTGGGGGCTCGATTCGGGTGATGTGGTGACGGCCTGGATCGCCCTGCTAGACAGCGACACAGAGAACGGGGCTATGCGCGTCATTCCCGGCACCCGTCTGGTCTCTTTGCCGCATGTCGACACCTTTGCAAAGAACAATATGCTATCACGTGGACAAGAGGTTTCGGTGGATCTCGGCGACCGAAAATGGATCGAGATCGATCTCAAGGCTGGCGAGATGTCGCTCCATCATGTGAACATCGTCCATGGTTCGGAGCCGAACAACTCGGACCGCCACCGCATCAGTTTTGCAGTGCGTTATATGGCACCCCATGTCAAACAGACGATTTCGACCATGGATGGCGCGGTGCTAGTGCGCGGAGTCGACCAGTTTAACAATTTTGAGCATGAACCAGCACCCAAGGCCGATATGGCGGCTGATTCCCTTGCCTATCACCGCTGTGCCATGGAGCGACTGAGTCAAAACCTCATGAAAGGTACCGACAAGACGATAAACGATCGACCTTAGTTGGCTCATTTCAGCGCAATTCAAGGAAGCCAGCAATTGCCCTGCAATCTTGAGGGTGTGGGTGAGTGGGGTGGGTGTGGGTGTGGGTGTGGGTGTGGGTGTGGGTGTGGGCGTGGGTGTGGGTGTGGGTGTGGGTGTGTGTGTGGGGGGGGGGGGGTGAGTTGGTTCTTCTTCAGGAGTCCAAATGATAACAAACCTACTCCTACTCACAATACAAA